ACACACACACACACACACACACACACACACACACACACACACACACATTTGTATTTAGTTCCAAAACAACTCAAATGATCAGATGATGCACAAATGATCCGAACCACTGAGGATGATGCCTTGCTAAGCAATCCGTCTTTAAGATGAAATGTAAACACCTCCATTAACGGGGTTAAAAACAGACTCATTTTATGCAACCAAATCTTTTATTTTTATTTCAAAATGAGCAGTAAAAACTAAGACAGAGGTAGACAGAAACTCCCTAAATAATAAACACTATAATCATAATTCAAATAGTCATTGTTACATATTTATTCCTGCATGTCTAAGCAGTATTATTAGACAGTATATCTAAGTGTTGGAGGCAGAGCCGCTCTCGGAATGCAACAAATGCCAGCGACAAATGTTAACAGGTGCGGGTCAGAAAGGGAACCGACTGCTGGTTCAATCCTCCACGCACGCACACACACACACACACACGCACACACGTCTGTCCGCAGAACTAAGAACTTCTGTTCAAACGTGTATAAAAGAAGCGAGAAGAATCGGGACCGGATAAAGTGGAACCTTTGACGGCAGAGTTCGTGCGTAAAAACAGAATAAAAGAACCCATCACAGCATGAACATGTTTGCCAGAAGATAACAGCTGTTAAACACTTGCATTAAAGCACAAAATACTCGTGTTTCTACCTTTTTCTCATTTGTGGACCGGATGAGTTCAGCTCGGTGAAATATAATCCAGACGCGATCCTCGGCGTCGTTTCCCGCGCGCTTCTTGTTTTTGTTTTGGACCAAACAATATCAAGTGCGAAACTCTCCTCACATCTCTGGAGGACCGGTCTCGATAATGTGCTTCGCGATGAGTTCCCCCAAAGCGTTTTTAAACGGCAGGCACCGGGGCTCGGCCCCGCCTCCTCGCTCCGCGCGCCCTGGCCAATGGAGAGAGGAGGGGAGCGCGCGCACACCGAGGAGACCGTTTTTTTTGTGTTTGACCGGAGCGTCCAGAACCCAACATGGAAATCACGGAGAGCAATTTGGCACTAATTGAGCGACGCCACTTTCATCTCAATCAGGAGTTCAATAGAAAGAGAGGAGGGAGGGAAATATAAACACAAATACATATCAGAAAATGATAAATGTAGAGCTTAAATCTGATTAATGTCAGTAATTCTTTATATCACATACAGGTTACAGATTTAGTTTTTTAGCTTTACAATAAGCACACAGACTGAAACGTGCAACTTTTACCCAAAGACAAAATTAAAAGATTTTTTTCCCAAAAATCTCTCATTAAAACCCTCCAATGAATCTGACCGGTGTCTTTGTTACCACCTGCTGCTGACAGTGAACACATCTCCCTCATATATATGTATATATATACATGTATATTGTGCGATATCCTTGGTGTTTATAGATCTTATTTTTTAATGTGAGCATGGAAAATGTGTTCTGTCGGAAAGAATGAGTCACTCAATAAAGGCCAACATGCCTGATATGACTGTCTTTCTCCACTGAGCTATCAAGTTGCTGTGGATGTTTAGACTATGCATCTGTTGCCCTATAATTCCAGGTCAGGCCGTGTCGTCTTAAAGCCGTTGACTAAATCAATCGTCCTGCTTCGCATTAACCCGCAAATACATGTTTGGTTTTTAGCTTTTTTAAAAGCTTTTGAACTGCTTGTTTTCTATTTTTTTCATTTTTCATTTGTAGTTATTTATAGCAGCACATACATATTTAGCCCAAACCACCTGTGTCACTGAACTGTGTGTGTGTGTGTGTGTGTGTGTGTGTGTGTGTGTGTTTGCTTTCCATGCCCAATTTCCAGCAGTAAAGAGAGCGATGCATGCAGCAGCCAGTGCTGGACCACAAGGTGGAGAGCTGGAGACTGGAATTAACCACACGCACGCATGCACACACACACACACACACACACACACACACACACACACACACACACAGCTCTGAATCTGAGCTCATGATTCTGATGAAATATGTAAACTATTATGTAACAGCTGTAAAGATATCATCATTTTAAGATGAAAACGATAGGACATTTTCTACATTGTAGCACAAATGAGTTTATTATCCGGCTGTTGAATGCATCATCTGTTGTCCTCAGTCATGTTGTTTGTTGCTTTATGCTTTCTAGTCTCTGATAATGTTACATTGTGAACAAGGAACAGCAAAACGTGCACCCCAAAACATTTGTTTCTAACAATTAATTGATTCATTAATGATATTTATATATTGCTGACAGAACCTTCCAGAGCTGCGTGTGTGGCTGCGTCTACGAGTGTGCGTAACATGCATCCGTGTTCGAGACGATCTATAAGCGGGATAATCTTGTAATAACTCGCTATCATGTGAAAAATACTGGAATTATCATGTAAGAAAGAAAGGACTCACACGATGCTATTTTTTTATTTATCCTTTATTCGTGCATGGAGACCTTGTTATTTATGACCTTTTATAAGATTGTTTGAATGTTTTACTTCAAACTATGTTCACACTAAAAGATAGGTGATGCAACAAAGAATCGTTTTTTTCTTGTTAAAATATGAGGTGAAGTGATTCCAGTATGTTTTAGTACCATTTTTAAAGCATATTTTTGTTTGCAATGTACTGTATGTAATGAACATTATCAGAGATCAGAGACAAGAAAAACATATTTTACTGAATATTGGAGGAGAACCATCGTCAGTAAAACTTTATTTCACACTGTGATGGTTAACGTTAAACTGTAATTAATCTGAGCTTCTCATGCGTACAGAACCGTGAGGGAGGTCGACGGGGGTCCGTTACATGGTTTAGAACACAGGAAGCACCTCTTACTTTGCCATACAAGACTACAGAACAACAAGATCCAGGTTCTGTTGGAATCGACTACACTCACCTTTTTAAAAAAGCCATAATGAGTCTGTGTGCTGGTCAGAGTCGGTGAATAGTCCTGTCCTGGTCTGGGGCCTGAATAACATCAGGAGCTTCTGATTGTCTATTTTTGATGTTTTAACTGGATTACACATGCAAATCAAAGCAGCACGTTCTAAAGAAGCCTCTGGTTACTTTTATCCGTCTGGTTACCTGATATCAAAGTGACCGTCCCAATCCGAGCTTTTGTTCTTCGACGAGAACCAGGATCCACCTCTGATCCACCTCGGGACAGACGCAGGACGTCAAGACCCAAACCAGACATTTAAACGTCACTTTATTGACATTGGAATTGTCTTATGAGCAATATTGTTCTAATGTTCTGTCAAATCTGCTAACTGATGCAAAAAGAACAACATTAGAAATACATTTGGTCAATTTGTTACAACAGATCTTTATATTCTTTTGTTCATAAGATATTCGAGGTAAATATTATTTGTCATTTACAAAAGTCTAAGTCAATAAACCAGCTTCATTCATGTGTGAACTACCTCTTGGTAATTACTAAACAAATGGGAATCCTCCACCACAAATATTAAGACAACTTTACATTTACACGTTTGTCACATAAACTGATTTTACTCACAATAAAGTATGTTAGTTGCCGCTAAGGCTTCAGTTTATTTACAACTAGAACTGGGCCATAACGCAATATCTTTTTCACCAAATACCTCTATCGATATTGCGACAATATTGTAAGGTTGACTATTGGTGCTTTATTCTAAGTAAAGGTTAATAATAGAACAGCTACAACAGTCGGGTAAGTTCAGAAAATTGCATCACTTTACTTTAATGCAGCCTTTAAACCATCAAAAAACACACTTATGCCATATCACCATACCAAAACCTAAGATGATATCTCGTCTCGTATCACTATATCGGTATATATTGTCGATATATTTCCCCTTTTTACAAACGTTAAACTTTAGAGATAGTGAGTCAAAGTCACGTAACATGAAGGAGAACATGTAGAAACCTTATTTTTAAACAAGTACAACACAACTCTTTGTTTTTGCACTCAAAAAATACTATAAACAGTTGACAAGAAAATCCCACCAGGTCCATTTAGTAACTTCTGATTGTATTACATGATCTTCCTCAGATTTTAAGGACTTTGTCATCCATGTTGGCTTAAAGATCGAGATTTAAAGTTCATTTTTGAATTTGGAAACAGCAGTTAATAAAACAATTTCCCCAACAAGTACTATACAAAGTAAAAGAAACATTACGTTCACCCACTTAAATACATCTTGTATTTCATTGCTCACCCTTAAATCCACAATCACCTTAATCTGAATATTATAATAGCCCTTTAAAGACAGCATTCATTAAACCGTATCTATATTTCAAATAGCGAGCCTCTGTTTATTATAGGTTTTGTATTCCGATGTCACGGTGTCACTCCACCAAGTATTTATATGCTGTGTGTCAAGTCCTGAGTACCTGGAGGCTTGAAAGGTGGCTGTAAAAGTTTGTACTTTCATCGCTCAAAATATCCGTATAAACGTCTCAGACCATAATAACACGTCTCTTCTGTCCATTCGTATGCTTAGTTTATCCTTAACACTTGTGTTTTCACCAAAATATGGTTAAATGCATTTGTTCATATCCTCACACACAACCTTGGCTTGTCGGCATCCCTCCCCATCACTCGCCCGTCTGACCGAATCTGTTGACGTATGTAGGAGACGGTTTCCATTCATTTCTATGGAGAGCAAGAGAGCCGGCCGCACCTTTTGCACCATGGATACGACATGGCGAGTTGACTGACCATTTGCCGTTTCTAAATTTGCACAATCATGACTCAACTTCATGCAAATCAAGTCCGTCCAAACTCGGATCAAACAGTCAAACTTGGCAGCGCTGATTAAAAATATATCAATAGTCTGTTACTGCATGGCCCTATTTCTCGCTTCAAATGATTTCAGAAACATATTTTAATGTACTGTTTAGCTGTACAATGAGAAGCTTTGTCACCCGTCCGCCATTGTTTAAACAGTTGAGCCAGAACGAAGCCTGGCCCACCTGCCGGAGCAAAGTGGACCATTTGGGGTTCTGTCACGTCTTTCTGTATGTTGGCCGGATTTGGTGGATCTTCACCATCAGGCACGTCACTAAACAAAGTTCTCCTGACCGATGAAAGAGTAGAGCTGGTTATGCGCGGCGGTGAGTCGATATGTCCCAGAGGCCAACTGCAGTACTGCAGCCCAGTACTCAGCATTTTCCCCACAGATCGATATTATTAAAGTCTGTTTAAGTGTCTGTAAAAAGAATATGCTAAATTAATATTCTTTGTTATACGTGTTGTGAATCGCTTTGGTTTCATGCTGAAATATCTCAACAACTATTGGATGGATTGGAAGTGTTTACAGACATTCATGGTCTCCAGAGGAGGAATTCGACTGGCTTCGGTGATGCCCCGACACTCTTTTAGCTCCACCATGAGGTTAACAGCGCCGTAACTTTGTAAATGTATACTTTTTTTTCAATACTTCAGTTTCTCACTAAATACCTGCAAATTAATGACATTCCCATCAGCCTCAGCTGTGCTTCATTTTTAATGTTAATTCGTTGATGTTAGCACGCTAACAAGCCAAACTAAGATGGCGAACATGGTAAACAATATATCTGCTAAACATAAACATGCTAGCATTGTCATTGTGAGCGTGTTAAAACCTCATGGAGTCACTGGTGTGAGTGTGGACTCTTAGACATCACAGTTTAATGTTTGTAAAACTTTTGCCAATCCTTCCGTCTTTAGCACAAGAAGTTGGCGCTTTTTAATGTCGCCTCAGGAGACATTCGAGGGGCCGCTATGATCTGCAAGGCAATGGTCACAAGACAGCGCAAGTCATTGGTAGGCTACTTTTTGGTAGCCCTCTTGCTAGCTGGCTACACATAGTGTAAAGCCTCTACTGTTTTGAAAACCCCGGCTACGTGCTGGATGAGCCGCTCTCATTGGAATGAATGGGCCAGGCGCCATCTTTCAAGCCTTCAAGGTTTCAGTCTTTGATACTCAAAAGACAGATTTTTTTTGCTGAAGTGTTACTTTAATAAGATCACATGCTAAGAAACAGAAACCCTTTTTTCATCCTTACAGTAAATGAGATTCAGTAGCATCCTCAATATTCCTCTTTAGCAGTCGCTTCTTTGAAAAAATGGACAATTAACACAGTGTCTTAATAAATGGCGGCCTCAAACATCATGGTTCTGCTTTTATATTTCTATACTTGTGAGGTCATTTGGCAGAGTCAATCTGTCTTGATGTTGATTGTCTGCTTGAGATGTTGAAACGGTTGGTTCAGGGCGACGGTCGTTCACAAGTTCCACAGTTACCGTTGGGGGTTTCAGAAGCTTTTCAAGATGGTTTCGCTGCAGTGATCTTGGAGATCTGGGTGAATTACGCGGGGAAGATCTGGGTGAATGTCGCGGGGAAGATCTGGGTGAATGTCGCGGGGAATGCCGGGGTGAGGGCCGCCACTGCTTCTTGTGTTCGTACTCCTCAGCGCTGACCTCGGGCACCAGCACCTTGGCGGTGTGATTGAACAAGGTGTAATCCACCCTGTAGTGCCTCTTGCTGACCCGGATCATCTCCTGGAACAGCTGACCCCAGAGGATTTCTGCCGGGGTGTACGAGGTGCGAGTCTGATGCAGCATACCGGAGGAGTCGTCCGTGTAGGTGAAAGACACCACCAGCTCAAAGTCTTCTTTCCGTAGATCTACCAAGCTCATGTTGTACAGTGGGCTGCCGGGTTCGATCCTGTGGAAGATGGTGGTAGGCGTGACCAGGATGACGTCACTCTGCTGGATTAGCAGATCTTCGTACGTCACGTCCATTTTCCCTGTTGCGTGCACCGTGGAGCGGACGATCTGAGCGCGAGCCGTCCCCTCCACCAGGTGGTGCCGGCGGAAGTCCCCGACTCTCCAGGAAAGACACAAGTAACTATCGTGAAGATTGATGACGGCGCAGTTGCTGAAGCCCACCGTCTGCGCCCTCTTCCTGGCCGAGGCCATTTTGGCGACGACGATTCCGATGACGAACGTGTCAATGAAGCAGCTGATGACGTCTTGTATGGTGACGATGATGATGGCGATCATGCAGTTCTCGGACATCCCTCTGTAACCGTAGCCGATGGTCGTTTGGGTTTCGAGCGAGAAGAGGAAAGCAGCCGTGAAGCTGCGCACCTGGTACATGCAGGGTTCACTCGTGATGTTTCTGGTGTCACCGTGAGCAAGCGCGATGACCCAGTAGAGGATCCCGAAGAAAAGCCAAGACAGGATGTAAGACAGGGCGAAGATCAGGAACATCACCCTCCACCTAATCTCCACCAAGGTGGTGAAGATATCCGTCACAAACAGCAGCCACTCCTCGGGAACATGGCGAAACACCACGTTACAGCTGCCCTCTTTGCGTACGTAGCGGTATTTCTTTGGTTGAGGTCCATTCTCATTCTTCACAGTGATGGCATCGGCGGGGCTCACGGATGTATATTGTTTATGCATCTTCCCGAGTCTGTAGGAAAGATGACAAAGAACATTTAGAAGTTTCATTCACCAGTGTGGTAAATATCAGGCAATTTCGACTTCACACTAAAGTGTTTTTAATACTATCAGTAGAGGGCGCCAGTGTAGGACATCTTTAAGTTCTACACATTGTGTTTATAAGTGTCCACAAAGAAATAACCTCAACGTATAGTTTGATAATTAGACAACATATGAAGACCCTATAGACCCTTTCATGGTTTGTAAACAATGATGACGTACATAAGTGCGCACACACATTTCGGCAACAAAAGTACGGCGGAGTGCTAAAGCTTGTCAAGCGATGCAAAGGCATTAACCACCAAAGATGGAGAATGCAACCTAAACAAAGTGAATTTTCAGATCTGTGTGCTGTTAGTGTAACTGCAACGTCTACAAAGATCATCTAGAAGACTCCCAAAGGGCTTTCCCTGTTGCTCTGATACAGAAAACAGACTTTCACCTAAACCCCCGTCTTTTCCATTTTCCGACTCTTTCTTTTTTTCCGGACACTATTTATGGAGGAAACAACGAGCAGCGGAGTCTTCCGTGTATCAGAAACATTGGCTGATTGCTGGAAATCTCTAACCTCCTGCTCTCCCTCCTGTAGCATCTAATATCAATACATCATGAGCAATACTTTGAATACCAGAACAGTCATCATTGTGTTGCTTGTTTTAAGTTTTAGATTTTTACTTTTATTCACGGTTTCTTTCATCTTTTGTCTCCCACTTAGTTTTCTTTAGGCTGAGCTTTGATTAATCTGGAGATCTATTTTCTGAACAGCAATGTCTACCGTGTATGGTTTTCTTTTTCCTGCTTCTTTGTGCTGCGTCAACACATTTAATCACAATGGGGCAGTTGCTTGGAGATACAACACGTTATTATTGTATAATAAATCAAGGACGCCTACGACGTGGCTCATACCTGTAACAGTTTCAGAAATATCTCCTCTCTGCTGATGGATACAAAATTCCCTTTGGGCAAAGGCCACAATGGCATAAGCATATTAAAAGTATGGATTCTACTATGTAGGACTTGAAAGCATTTCATAATACGTCAAACAGTGCAGGTACAGACAGATGTCGCACTTTCATTGTATTTAAACTAAGTCTGTTTAGTGACCAGGGGTCGGTTGCCGTGCCACAGTCGGATAAGTTACGCTACACTCTCTGTAAACACACAAAGGTTTGCTGTTGTCCAAAGAAATGGCCCAAGACCTCATTCTTTTGTTTTTTCTGGGTGGAGGTCAGAGAACTGTCAGAGGGCCGGTATAGGAAGCACCACAGGACTGAACTGGTCTAAGTTAGCAGGGGGAAAAAACAAAAAGCAAATGTGGAATTTGGAATTTGGAATTTGGAAACTGGAATAGTGTCACGGTGGGATCACGGGCAGAGGAAGGATCAATCACAGCCAAACCACTGAGAGCATCCTCTATACGCCCAAAACAAATCACCGCTATCTGACTGAGTGAACCGGGCTCCGGTCACAGACTCCACTTTCTCCTGGCTGCAGCTGACGTCCACGCTGCCAGACTGTGGAGCTCATGAGGTCATAGAAATAACCTCCTATTAGCTTTCCCATAATGCCTTCCTAACTGCCCCGACATGGGCGGACGGAGAAAAACCAAAAGATGCTGAGAGAGTGTAGCATTCGTATGTTGTCGGTCGGAAGTGGAGCTTCTTTCTGACCTGCAGAAATCAGTTTGTAGAAGATTACAAAGTGCAAAGACATGCAGTTATCTTCATGTGCTCAGTAGCACTAGCATCAGAAGGTTGCTGCTGTAAGGCCTTTACAAACCAGGAGCGTTCTTTTTCATTCGCTTGTCAAGATGTTTTTACGAATGTTTTTTTTCAAAAAGAAATATAATTTTTTTGCGGGACAAATTTCATTTTTCTATGCTTTCGTACCGCAAATAAATGCATCAACCAATCGGGTTCAGCCTGAATGGGATAAGTTACACCTTTATTTATAAAACAACACGGAGGCTCCGTTGTCCGAAACCAAGATGGCAACTTTATTACTCCTTTCAACATTGACAAAGGCAGCACAGACCACTCCTTCCTCTCTTACCTTTCACAATGAAAGCTCATGACATATAATATTCCCAGGCGTGTTTTTAGCATTTTTGTATCGTTTTCCTAACTTTGAATGGTTGTATACATTTGGTTATTTACCAGAGCTGCAGTGAGAAAACAATTTCGCAACTATTTTCAGTATTGATCAGTTGTTAAAGTCATTTTCCTTTTGGTGCAACACTTTGGTCCAGACTGAAGTATCTTAACAGCTACCGGATGAATTGCCGTAACATTGATCCTCAGAGGATGAATCCTAATGACTTTGTTGATCCTCCGGCTTTTCCTCTGGCTCCACTCAAAACTACAAAAGTCACCCTCATGGTGAACGTGGTATTGCCATGTTTCTACAGTAGCCCAGAACGGACAAACCAATCAATGTCTCTAGAGAGAATCCTTTGCGTTTTTGTGCCACCGTAGTTTCAGTTGGTTGCAATCTGCAACCTCCCCCCTAGAGGGCTTCAGATCCTACACACTGCATCTTTAATATCTTTTTCCAATTTGGACTTCAGAGAATTGTGTGGGTCATTTTTTAAATGTTACAACATTTTATAAACCAAGCAGCTCATTTGGTTATTGAGAAAATAATCGGCTGATTAATTGATCATAAAAATGACCTTTTTTTTTTTTTACCAATACATATAATATGACGATGGAAACATAGAATACCCTGAATTACTAGATCATGGAATTTCTTATCATTTTTTTTTCCTTTACTATAATACAATTAAATGCAAAATAAAGTAAATATGTACACGTTTTTTCATAATTCAGTGATGAAGCTACTGTTCATACAGTCATTTAACGGGACATAATAAGGACACTAACAAAGAAATTAAAATACATGAGTAAATAAATGAAGTCTGAGCTCTTGAAGTAAACACAGGCATAAAAGTTAATCTTGTTGCATGTGGTCAGTTAATAAACTCAAGACACCATTTAATCCACTATTAATTCTACATTTTTTAACATGATGTAACTGTTGTCGGAGTGATTTAGACCATAATAGCATCTGGAGTACCGGGCCATGAAAAGAGTTTTAATCAACACTGAATGTTTTTTAAATGGTTCAAGATTCTGAGGAGGAATTTCCACCACTTGCAGTCGGCTAAATATAAACTGTATTCTACTGTAATACGTGGAGTCTTAAAGCTGAGCATTAAAAAAAGCTGTGCTAATGAAGTTATTAGTATTTTTGAGTGTGCTGTGGTTCTACGCACTGAGCCCTGATGTTCTCTGTGTTGTGTTGACCCACTAGGTTGAGCTGTTTTCTCCACAGTCACTCAGCCCAGTCGTGGAGGCTTATGACCTGAAACAAGCGGCTCTGTGTACAAAACAAGACGTTCACAAAGAACAACCTCTTACAACCACAACACATCCTGACCTTTGGCATAAAGTTTCCACTGCACTTTCCCTGAACAAAGCGACGATACTTGATATTTTTTTTTGAGGTTTGAATTATTGTTATTTTCACAATAACAAGAGCAACGTTTGTGTTCTGAAGTCGGCCCGTCATCCCCTGCTGACAATCGAGGGATGAACTGGAAACAACTTAGGCAATTGGCTTGTTTCCTCTCCCGCTCGGGGCACTTACAACTCCATTACATGCTCACTTACTGCCAATGACATTGTGCCACCCATCTGTGGTTCACTGGGACAGAACCGTCTCCACGGGTGGCTAGTCTTAGCTCTGCCCCGGAGCTTTCTACCACCTCTAATGACCTTCAAAAACCTCAACGCTGCAAAAATACTTCCATCGTAACAAGTCACTTAAACCTCTCGCTCGCTTGTCAAGTGAAGCGTTTGGCAGCCGCGTTGAGACTCCACTTGTTTCAGGAATATTTCTAGTCTGTTGACATTGATCTGTGCTGGAAGTTCTCCTGATGCTGTTTAAAGGCCAGAGGGCTGAGACTTGCTGAGATGTTTCTACATGATCGAGTCAGGATTTTAATGGTTTATCCAAACTTCAAAGTGCCAAGTGGACCAGAGCACCAACGTGTTTAGTTTTAGTTTGCTTCATCAGAAATAGCTTGATGTTGCTTTTAAGGACGAAGAACTTGAAACCAGATGCAGGATTTAACCCCTCAGACAGAGAAATCTACTGTGCATTCAGTACAGGCTGCACTTCTGATTCTGAAGAGTGAAGCCGATGCTTCATGTGTTAAAGCTGCATTCTCTCTAGTGTCCACCAGGGGGCGACTCCTCTGGTTGTATAGAAGTCTATGAGAAAATGACTCTACTTCTCTCTTGATTTATTACCTCAGTAAACATTGTAAACATGAGTTTATGGTCTCAATCTCTAGTTTCAAGTCTTCTTCAATACAGCATGATGTTCATTTAGTACATTATGGTCCATTTAGAGTCAAACAGACCATAAAGCAGGGGATGCTTTAGGGCGGGGCTACACGGTGATTGACAGGTCTCTACTACGGTGTTGACCGGTCTGGAAGTTTTCCGTGTTTTTATCTAACAACTTCAACCTGTTTGTGTTCACGTCATGACAGTTAATTGTACCGTTCTGGTCACACAGTATGAGTTTCCAGGTTGTTATTCCAGGCTACCAATGTTTGACCTCTTTTTAACATAATAAATAGCAAAGAAAAACAGAAAAACATGCTCCCCAAATTCAATATATTTGAAATATTTGTTATATTAGTGGTATGTTAATCCCTCAAAATATGAGGCAACTAAAAATGACTATTAATTAAAACTAAAAACTGTATTTTCAATGTCGGTAAACAAAAGCTGATGCTTTGAAACGATAGTGTTGAGCTCTGCTTCTCCACACCTCTCCTGTCTACAGGGTTCATTTTAGTTTTTAGACACGCGTCACTGAGTTTAAATGCACCGTTTGTTGATCTAGAACTGTTTCCTGTTTCTGACTTCTCTTTGTGACTACACTCTGTAAGATTTTTCTTTTAAGACCAACATGCATGATTGCGTCATTCACTGTTTAAAAGATCAATAATCTCATATTTATGAAACAGAATCAGTCCTGTTGTGTCAGCAGTGATGTCACATCTTCTTTACACAACACGGTTTTATAGATCTAATTATATCGGACATAATCGCATGCAAAATCTGCCAGTAATTGCTTTCTATACAGGCGATATTAACCTTTGTTCTCTGGCATGACTCTGAATTTGATCAGATTTCATTGTGTAACATGATTGCAAACATTACTTATCACCTTGACCAGATCTTGTTTTGTTTGTTAACCATTCAGGCGTTGGATTACTGCTCTTAAATGCTGCGGCTCAGATTACCGATTGTTCCGCTGACCACCACCTTCACTTGCTCCTGTTTGTTTCAGCTCAGCATGACGCCTTCAAACAACCAGCAACTAGTTATTTGAATGTACAGTTTGCTTTTGGTGAGGCGGCCACCGAGGTTTATTATTTATTCAGGCAGTATTTTTAAGAACATGAAATTATATTCCAGTGCATTTAAAATATATTGAGCAGGTTTTTAGTATCTAAATATTTGAATAATTCCACAATGTCTCATACAGTTGATATTACATACACACATACTTATATATTTAGGTTTTATATCCCTTTTCTGGTCAGATTTGACATTTAATTCGACAGTCTAACAAACAATAGATGTCACAGATGGATTCCTACCTTTTTTTTTGTCGGAAATAAATGCTGAACCAGTCGCAGGAATGTCTGCACCTGAGTGGAAAAAGCTCTCCGAGGAGCTGCACAGTAGCTCAACAGTCACCTGCTGGAATGAGCCGGCCCACTCGTCTCTGCAAAAAAGTAAAGATTAACGCCTCCCTTCAGCATCACATGGTGTCAGACGGACAGGTGAGCGAGTGTTTCTCTGAGCAGCTCAGTGTGGATATGAGTGAGTGTGTGTTGTGGGTGAGTGGACGTAAATGCAGGTGTTTATGGGGCTTTGGTACATGATGGCACTCAGTGCTTTGTGATTGGAAACTTTAGTTTTCACCATTCAGTTGTGCAGTAGATGTTTTCATACTGACTCCAATCCAAGACTGTAAAATCAATAATGAGATAATGATGTTTCAGCTGCAGTCTACTATCTTTTATTTTCCACAAGCTTCTTGATCTGAATACTAGAGATCCTGGTTCAGAACTGTTACGTTGATGAGCTTGAACTATTGCTAAGATATGAATGACTCCAACGTTTGGCCAATCACACCAGTAATCCCCTAATGTTACATTTTTTGGCATTCACACACTTCTTCTCAATGCATAAGCAACGATCCAAATCATGTTCACAACGTTCACTACTGTAAAGGAAAAGAGACATTTCTAAATGCAGATTCTTCAGCTCATTTACACAACATCTCAGGTTGTTAGTAGGTTAACTCGTTGATCAGCACTTTAATCTTTGATTTATGATCTGATCGCCTGGTGGCACAAGGCTCCTTTGACATTTCTGCCTCTGACGGTGACTCGTCTTTCGACGCTTTTTCCCTAACATTTCAAATTGTGATAAAATGCTGCTTTTCTTTATCTGATGTGAAGGTAAAACCGAGTATCTTTGAGATCGAGACTGTTGGTCGGACAAAACTATTTGAAGATGTCGGCATCAAGAGAGTCGTGATGGGCCTTTTCTCTTTGTCTTCCTATTTCCTGTCATTTTGTACATCAAAACCAGATTAATCAACAACAACAAAAAGCCCGGGTGGTAACAACCTCATGTTCCTGTTCATAGTCCCGTCTGTTGTATAAAAGGTTTCAGAAAATGTATAGTTATATAAATTTAGTTATATGAATTAAAACGATCTCCTTTTCACAGCTTCAACTCGTAACAACAGATTACAAATTGGTGAGCACTCTCCCTCCTTTGTGCCTCTTTTTCAAAGACGTGACCAGAAACCCTTATTCCCAGCTTCAAACTCCTTAGAGGGCTTAACTTACTTAATAACTGCTTTGCAACCGAACTCCATTCATTGTCCCGAGTAAAAAAAAAAAAAAAAAAGAAGCCTTACTCAGGTTTCAAACATGGACATCTTTTGACCATCCGCATGTGCTCGGTGTGGAGAAAAGGCTCGCAGCTCTTACAGATTGTGTCTTTCTTACGGACCTACCAATAGATCTGGGTCGATGGAAATGGGACCCTGTCTTCAGGTCAATGTGACTTTTCCATCCCGCTGGTGTTTATTGTCTGGATAGTGTGTGAGTGACAGAGATATACTGAGCAGTGATTGTAAAGGTGTTCTGACAATGACGGTAGAAGGATGGTGAGTGGATCATTAAAAGCTGGAGACTTGTTCACATTCACCAGCATAGAAATAGAGTCTTGTGCAGCTTTACTACAGAGGTTGTTCAGAATGCAATGGTTTAAATAGAGGAAGATGTCAGTGTTGTGTCAGATGCATCTTTAAAAAGTCTTATTGTTAGGGATAAGAAAAGCAGACAACAGCCACTGTAGCAGCACAATACGGCTGTAATGAACATCACACACCAGACAACAGAACCAGTCGGTGTATGAGTCATTTTATATGCCATAACCATGTTCTTTCTTTTTGCGTGCCATTTGCGTGACTGCAATGTAAAAGCATCCATATGAATATATGCTGCGCTCTGAACAAGTGACTTTGTATTAAATGTGAGGTGGACCCCTTAATGGTGGACGAATCAAACAAACACAGGACTTGCAACCAGGAGACCAGTGTTCCAGACTGTTATCTCAACGTGTTGGTTTTTCTTCTTCTTTTGAAGCGTTTGTGACGTGTTTTCCTTTTTACGTTGTTGCCGTCATTATTTTACTTAGTTCACGTACTTATTTGAAAACCCAACCATGATGTTTTTACTGATCTAACCAAATAGTTGTGCAGCCGTTACCGTAGTGTTGTTGCCATAACATGACGGCGATCGTTTCATCGTAATGACGTGGCGTTAAATGACACGGTAAAAGCCTTTTCATAGCGCAAAATGAAAACACGCAAAAATCCTTAAATTCATAGTCGTGACACACGGAAATGTCGTTCTATTCATAGCCGTCATTTATATAAATCGGGTTGTGTTGAGGGGTGAACTTGCAGCTCTGTGAGGCTGTGTTCATAGGGATGCTTTAAGCTGAATGCAACCGTTAGCATTCTAACACACACACACACACACACACACACACACACACACACACACAACCACACACACATTGAAAATACTGATGATGTTTACATCGGCATCTTAGCATCACAGCTCAGCTTGCCATCATTTGCTGACCAAACAGCTGAGGCTGATGGGAATGTGATATGTTTAGCAGGTATTTGGTCATAAACCAACCAGAGTTGGACAAATAGAAATTTTGAACTGATGATGGCCCTAGATGGAAAAAAGTCCTCTGGGGACCATGAATATTTGTACCGCATTTTATGTGAATCCATCTCACACTGGTGGAGACGTTTCATTCTGATCTAAATATTTAAGCCTGCTGGTGGCCCTAGAGGAAAAGTCACGTGACAAAAGTAGGATTCCTCAACCGGGGGACCATGAATATCTCTTTAACATTTGATATCAATCCATACGCTTATCAAGATGTGTCTTGACCAACCGAAATTGCCAAAACTGACTTGCATAACTAATCAGAGAAACAACTCTCAAGATATTTGCCAATATTGGGGGTAACATGTAAAAGGTGACCTGATGGATGTCGGCAGATAAAGACTGAAATCAAAAGGGTATATGTACGGTGGCCAATTTAGGACATTTCAGACTCGGCTCATCAGGCTCAGTTTTACACTGTCAGACGTAACTCATTTAGCATGTTGGCTGATGGGAGTTCTGAGATGTGTCTTGTATTAAACAAGTGAAAATGTGAATGTAATCACCAGAGTCCATTAGGTTTAACCTCTGGGGACCATAAAAGTCTGAACCAGAGTTCATGGCTGTAGTTGTAGATATCTCACTCTGGACCAAAGTGCCGGACTGAGCATCAATTGGAATCACATCTCCTGAAGTCACGGTAACTAAGAAACAGCCATTTATTCAACCAACTTCTACAGCCAGCACGTTTGAGAGTTTGATGAGATTTTTTGGGTCACTCAGACATTTTACTGTGACTGCACGAAATGCTCACTGGCTCTTTAAGCGGGAAAACAAAGCAATGCAAGCTATTTGACACCTTTTGCAAAATCTGCAGACTAAGAGGGTCAAGGCATATGAAATGACTCAATGGTTTTATTTCTCTCGTTGGAGCTCAGTGGGGGGTCCTCGCAGTAAATTCCTCTGGGTGTCTAAGAGTACGTCTGTGAAAAAGCGCCAGTTTTTTTACATTTATGAACCCGACTGCATTTTTTAAAAGTGAACAAATGTGTGTCCGTTTGTGTCTGTGTGCATGCAAGTGTTCCATGTGGTGGGTTAACGGGGGTCTCGGGCAAAAAAGTAAATACAAAAATAAATAACGAATCATAACGAATCACCTCGTTTCCAGGAAAAATAAAATTATTTGTTCCCAATAAAAATGATCCACAAAAAATACATGAGCACAATGTTGTGCACAGAGCTCTGATCAAAGGTTCCAACACAAAGCCAAGGCACAACATTAAAGAGGCCAGAAAGATTTCAGGGTGTGAAATGCAGACACCGAACTTTTTCTAAGAACAGTCTTCCAGAATCTCAAGAATAAAAAAAGGAAGACATTATTAAATTATATAATTCAGTCAGGGTCAGTTGCATCACAGAGAAGGTGAACTGAGGTGGGGATCATTTTTAGTTTGTATTTTAAGTACATCTTTGTTATAAAGTGAGAGGCGCCGCTTTCTTAAACAAATACATGTGCGTACAATTTGCATGAACAAAGTTTGAGCGCAAAACTACGAACCGAGTCTCACCAAAAAGGTTTCTAAGAGTAAATTCATGCAGCATCCTGGAGAAAGAGGAGGCATAGAGACGACTAGAACAACTGGAAGTTCATGTTTTCATAAAATACAATTTAAAATGGCTGACTTCCGATTGGGCGGTGCAAATAAGCTTATATTATAAAATAAACACCAATGTGAAATATGGCCAAAAAGATGTGAGCAGTGTTGGTACCAAATGTCATGAAGATCAGAATAACTTTGCCTCAAACTAAGGTCTTCCACGCGTTAGGGGGCGCCATGGAGCCCAATGAACATGCTTTTACAGTCGGGCCATGTTCACAGGTGTTTTGTAAGTTTTTGTGCATCCTAAAGTCTGCAAACATGTTTGTAAAAAGAAAATTCTTGTTTCTTAAACAATGATCCCTCCAAACATCAGAGGAACTTTATTCTAACCCTGGTGAGCCAATTGTCGTGAGTTTGCAAGCGTCCCAAGCCCTTAAAAAATGTGATAAAAAACAAAATCTTTACAAAAACAATGGGTTCCTCAAACTTACTTTCATGCTTGAGCCCTACATATGAAAATAATCATTAGTTGCAGCTCCAGGATGATAACGGGTGATGCACTTTGTCTTTGCTGAGAATCTATAAATACCTCAAGATACCTCAATTCTATGTTTAAATAGCATATAAATGACATTCTGGAGTTTTAATTCCTGTTGAAGTTTTGACCAATGTGTTGCTGCATTTAAAAGGTTTGTACTAGAATTTAAATTCCGGTTAAATATGATTTTTAAAATACAAAATTGCTGGTTTATTATTTGTAATATTAAATAACAATGAATGCAAATGGTATCCATGTATTTATTTGTTACATTTTGTATTAAAAAGTAAAAAAAAGCAGTGTTTACATAAAGCCCAGCTATCGGTTGGTGCATTCC